TTTGAACTACGGTTGCCTATAAGCTAGTCATGTGTGGAATTTATGATTATGGACTGTAGGTATTTCCTCTGTTTTTAATCTATGCAGGCCTCGATGAATGAAATCCAAGGTTGCCATGACACAGAAGATGGCTGTCCAGGGTTAAGGTAGTCCTGGATTGTTGGAGTTTAATGACTTATGCAAGAGAACAGGCTGTAATTCTATGACTGAGCATATGCTTTCCATGCAGAAAGTCTGTTTCAATGCAGTTAAAAGGTCGCGGTCTTTTGGTATGACTATATTAACTCCCTCCTACTCAGTCAGAACCATTGGTTCATCTAGCCCGCTATTGCATAAGACTAGTTTAGATAAATGAACGATCTGACCAAATATAAGGGAGTGTGCTATATCCATTCATATTCAAACTTTGACACAGTAGGCCTTACCAATTTTAAAACATCACGAACAGGAAAACAGGTGCCTGTTAAATTACAGGCCAGCTCATATAGGATTTATGCTGTCCATGAGCAAATCCCACCATTGTATGGTCCTACCATTGTGCCAGAAATGATGCACAGAATATATATGATGCAACAACGCTGACAAAGGAAGGACACTTATTTTAGCAGCTGTGGTCTTGAGAAATTCTCATGGGAAACGTAATGGTGCATTGCCTGGTTTACATGATACATATATTCATTCATATATGTGCATGAGTATGGTGGTGATTGACCCAGATCAAATCAAGCCAGAAATTGCTCTGGAAGCAGGAATGATGAAACTGACATGTTGTACTTCAAGCACAACGTGAGAAGGCAAGACTCACTGGAGAAGAGACTCATGCTTGGGAAAGTTGCAGACAGAAGCAGAAAAGTAAGACCAATTATGAGATGGATGGAAGCAAGCAAGCAAGCAAGCCACAAGTTCATAAGAGATGAACAAGGCTGTGGAGGACAGGGCATTTTGGAGTGCATAAGTTGGAGATAACTTGAAGACATGTAGCAAAAGCATGGTTGGGAATCTTGTAGGTAGGTATGAACTGCCACAAGTTTGATTTTACTAATGGTTGTGCCATACTTGGGCCTGTAAATCAGTACTGCAATTATGAGTGTTCTCAGGGGAAGTTTAAAGGGGAAATGCGCGCCAGACCAGCCTGCCTCCATCCGTGCTGCCCGGAGCCCGCACCACCCGGACCCTGCCGCTGCTCCGCCGCCCACTGCTGCCTGCTGCTGCCGCTGCCCTGCTGCAGAGGCCAGGGCCACCGGCCCAGGACCCTGCTCCGACATGCCTCCCCCGGCGTGTGTGAGAGACACGCTGGGAAGGGGTGGGGCACGGGGAGGGGCCCTGCAGGCCACAAAGCGCTGGCAGTGGCCGGGGCCAGCAGCCTCGGGCCGGCAGCCAAAGGGCGGTCGCCGTTTGGGGCCAGATCACTTCCTCATAAGGTCTGAGCTTGAGAGCGGCCTTTCCCTCTGTAAGGGTGCGGACCTGATTGTATTGGTCCACCCCCGGAGCTGGATGGATCCTGATGGATTCCTGGAAGCTCTGGGAGATTTTCCGGTTGACAAGGCTGGTGATCCTGTCGATGCCCTGGTTGAACTGTGGAATGAGGAGATGACCAGGGCTATTGACACGATCGCTCCTAAGCATCCTCTCCCACCTGGCAGAGCCTGTTCATCTCCTTGGTATACACCTGAATTACGGGCGATGAAGCAAGTTGGGAGACATCTAGAGCGTAGGCGGAGGAGATCATGGGGTGATTCTGACCGAACACACTTAAGAGCCCATTATCGGGCCTATGCTGTGGCGGTGAGGATGGTGAAGAAGAAATTCTTCTCTGTTTCCATCGCCTCCTCACAATGCCGTCTGGCGGAGCTCTTTCGGGTGGTGCAGGGGCTGATACATCCGGGCCTGAAGAAAGATCTTGTGCCACCCTTGAAGGCCTTTGCCAAGCATTTCAGGGAGAAAATCGCTCAGATTAGCCATGAGCTTGACTCTGCTATTGAACCAGATTCTACTGGGGAGACGCCATCGACGCCGTTGAGTCCACAATTACTGGATGAATTTCAGTTGTTGTGGCCTGATGATGTGGACAAGGTGCTTGGACAAGTACGCCCTACCACCTGCTTACTAGACCCATGCCCATCTTGGCTACTTAAGAAAGCCAAGGACGGGATTGGGACCTGGCTCCTGGAGGTGGTCAACGCCTCTTTAAGAGATGGCTGGGTACCTGTCCCTTTAAAGGAGGCAGTAGGCCAGCCAGTCCTAAAGAAGGCATCCCTGGATCCAGAGGTGGCCGCCAATTATAGACCGGTGGCCAACATCCCGTTTCTGGGCAAGGTGCTAGAGAGGGTGGTAGCGGCATGACTCCAATCACTCTTCGATGAAACTGTTTATCTGGACCCATTTCAGTCCGGCTTCAGACCCGGGTATGGCACTGAATCTGCCTTGGTCGCCCTGTATGATGACCTGTGCAGGGAGAGAGACAGGGGGAGTGCATCCCTGTTAGTTCTCCTGGACCTCTCAGCAGCTTTCGATACCATCAACCATGGTATCCTTCTGAATAGGCTAGCAGGATTGGGAGTTGGAGGCACTGCATGGCAGTGGTTCTGCTCCTATCTCAACGGCTGATTCCAGAAGGTGGTGCTGGGGGACTATGGCTCTGCACCAAGGCAGCTATGCCATGGAGTTCTGCAGGGGTCCATTTTGTCCCCCTTGCTATTCAACATCTACATGAAACCACTGGGAGAGGTCATTAGGAGGTGTGGGCTGCGGAATCATCAGAAAGCTGATGATACCCAGCTCTACCTCTCATTTTCCACCAATCCAGGTGAGGCAGTGGCTGTGCTGAACCGGGGCCTGGCCGAGGTAATGGGCTAGATGAGGGCCAATAAACTGAAGCTCAATCTAGACAAGATGGAGGTCCTGTTGGTGGGTGGCTCGGGCCTCGGGATGGGGGACTTGGGCCTTGTCCTAAATGGGGTTGCACTCCCTCTGAAGGACAGGGTTCGCAGCTTGGGAGTGCTCCTCGACCCTGAGCTGTCTCTAGAAGCTCAGGTGACGGCAGTGGCAAGGAGCGCCTTCCTTCAGCTTCGGCTGATCCATCAGCTGCGTCCCTTCCTGGAGAATGACTGCCTGGCGACGGTGACACACGAGCTGGTAACTTCCCAATTAGATTTCTGTAATGTGCTCTACGTGGGGCTACCCTTGAAGACGGTCCAGATACTTCAATTGGTGCAGGACAGAGCTGCCAGGTTGCTGACGGGGACTGGGCGTTGATCTCATATAACTCCGTCAGCTCCATTGGCTCCCGATTGAAGTCTGGGCCCAATTCAAGGTGTTGGTTTTGACCTATAAAGCCCTAAACGGCATGGGACCTGGATATCTAAAGGAACGCTTGCGTCCATATATGCCCTCCCGCCCCTTGAGATCAGCAATGGATGCCCTTCTCCGGGAACCCTCTGTGAATGATATTAGGAGGGTGAGTACTCAGAGGAGGGCTTTCTCTGCGGTGGCGCCCCATCTATGGAATGCGCTCCCCAGAGAGGTCTGCCTGGCACCGTCATTATTTGTTTTTTGGCGACAGGCTAAGACCTTTTTTTAAAAAAACTTATTTTAATTGCTAAATTATTGTATTTATTAGGATTTTAAATTAGCCGAGTATGCACCGGGGGGGTTTTAAATTTTTTTTTTTTGTATTTTTTGTGAGCCGCCCCAAGGCTTTGTTGCGATGGGGGCGGCATAGAAATGTTTTAAATAATAAATAAATGCTTTCTGAGATTCCTCTGCCTGTTTGTGTTGCTGGCACATGTGTAAGATTATGTCACATGCATGCATCTCATTGTATTGGTCAGTGAAAGTGTGCCCAAGGTCTGATAGGGATTTACTTGAAAATTCACCCTCACAAACAAAAAGAAATTCACGATGGAGCAATAATGTGGATGTGAGACAGCAATCACACAAAACATTTGCAAGAAATAAAAGAGAGAATCAATCCAAAAGAGAGATGTTCACCAGGAAAAAGGCTATGTGGTCAGGACACATAATTTACACTTATGAGTGATCATTTTACTGAAAGTAATAAATTAACTTTTAAAAATGTGTATGTACTTACAAAGCGTGTAGGCAAATATTTCAAATACTTTCACTGCAATTAACCAGAGTGAGGTTAACCAGTTAACTAGAACCTTCAAGAATTTTTGCTCACGTGTTTAACACAGACCAGGCACATGCAGATTCTTATTTGAGATTCTCACCTGAAGAACAGATCATGCTTATTCTTGGTTTAAGGATAAGAAAATCAAAGAGCAAAATCCTGTGCGTGATTAGACTGGAAAAAGGCCTACACCAAGGCTGGCTGAGGGCTTTTCCCCACAAACTTGCATGGAACTATGCTGCAAAAGAATACAGTTGAGACAGCATGGCTAGTATGCTTTAGATGTGCGGGGTCATCAAGCTGTGGAAGCTATAGATGAGATCCACCTTATTTTTACTCTCAGCCCTGGCCCAGTCAGGGAGCAGCTTGGGCCTCTCTGGAAATAGCCAGACCTAAGAAGGCCCCTCCTGACTGGAAGAATCACTGCTTTACAAGCAAGCAGTGGGCTTTTTTTTAATCTATTCATTTTTTATGTTAATCTTCCCCTTATGTAGAAAATAGTAGGGTTTTTTTAAAGCTAAATAAGCGCTGTAAAAACAACAAACTCATCACATCCAGGGTCATTTTAAGCCAGAAGCTGTTTGTCACAAATGATCAAGAAATATTAAAACTGCACAATCAGAGTTATTTCTGCTTGCCTCAAAGGAGGCAGGGTGGAGGGGTAAACAGATCACTTTAATTGTCCAAGTCTTGTAAGCTTAACAGAAACATTGAGTAACTTTGAGTGAACTGTGAGAAAAGATTTATGTAACCCGTACCTAACCACAAGTCACATGGGCTTCCCCCCCTCCTTTGTGTGTGTAGATAATTTTGCTCACAGCGAAGGTTATGGTTTTAGCTTGCTTCCTCAGCAGTGCAGAACCTTAAGCAATGCTAGTCCATAAATGACTTCAAGCTGAATGCAAGATGTCCTTAAAGAGACTCATTCAGCAAAGCCGTAATGGCAACGGTGTGGGCTATTGTATGAACTCAACTTACAGCCCCTGGTTGGAACCAGTCAGTAGCCCGCCTCTGGACAACAGGAGGACCCAGGAATTCACAAACTCAATGGACTCATTAACGAAGGACTACAAGCAGGTATGTTTTTTCACTTTAGGACTTGGTAGGACTTTTCTTGCAAAATGCGCTTCCTATTTCTAATGTCACACTTGGTGAATATGTTTCCTTTATTTCCATGGTCTGACCAACAAGAAATAATTGGTGTGGAGGTTTTTGTGGGCAAGATGGATAAGAGCTCGGTTTCCATGTGGTGTTGATTTCAGGAGTTCCCTTTTAGTTCTTGCACGTGTTGACAGCTGCCTGAAGTGCAGGAATTTAGCATGTGACTTTTTCCCACCATTTACCTCCCCATCTGGGAAAACAGTCCATATTGAATCCAGGTCTGTCAGGGCTTCTGATTAGGGCACCTTTTAAGGGCACTGCCTGGCATAGGACCAGCTTTTCCATTAAGCAGAGAAAAGCAGTTGCCTCAGGCAGTGGAATTTCACTGTCATGAAGGGGCAGCAAATATCTTACCTGCTAATTTGGTCTTGATCATCCTTCATTCTCAAAGGAGAGAAATGGTGGGATTCTGCCTCAAGCAATCTGGCCACCTTCAGGCAGTCTGTGCACAGCTGTGGGGCTGCTGTTTGCGATCCCACGCCTGGCAGCAACATCCCTGGCCCTGGCACAAGCCAGCACGAGAGGACCAGGCATGGCTTATCCTGGTGTTTGCTGGCACTCTGGTGAGGTCTTTCAAAGGAGATGCTCTCACGGCTGCTGTGCCCAAGACCAATTCACCGTTCGAGCCCCTCCAAAAGGATGCACTGCTGCTGCTTGCTACTAGCTGGCTGTGCCATACTTGGGCTTGCTCTGCATTTCCCAACAAGCTAAGAAGGGTAATATTTGTAATCAAGGGAAGGTTTTGCTTTCTGCTTCAGGGGGTCCAGATTTGTTGCCTGAGCGGTCAGTAATTAGCTTGAAGTAATTTAACTTCAAGCTATGTGTTTGACTGAACTTTTGATTTCTCAGAGAGATGCCTTCTTGCAATGGTAGTAAAAAGCAGGTTAACACTGATCAGCTCTTCACATGGACATGGAGTGAAAGGTGGAGAGAAATGTGTGTGTGTGTGTGTGTGTGTGTGTGTGTGTGTGTGTGTGTGTGTGTGTCTGCTGGGAGAGGGAAAAAGTGTCGATTTGTATGAGGCATCTATTCTATGTTTGTAATTCCTGTTTTTTATGACTTCTCTGGATAATGTCACAATCCACTAATTTTACTTGTTTTTAAGAGCACTTTCCCTTTTTTAATGAGTTGGCAAACTGGGGTATTGTTTCTGAAAGTAAAAGGTATTTTCCTACTTGTGCAGTTGTTACATTCTACTTTATTACCAAGAGGTGCTACATAGAGGTAATGGAGGTGAAGAGCAAGAAAGGGAAAACTATAGAGCTGGGATCTCATTCTGTGACAAAACATAACATAGATATTGTATTTTATGGTATTGTATGGAAAAGCTCAACCAGAGGGACCAGGTGGCAAAGAATCAGCAGTGGGAGCTGAGATAAGATTGTTCACTAACTGTGTGATGTAGGTAACACGACTAGAGTGTATATTAGCAGGGATTTCTGCAGTGTCAGGTTGCAAGACTTGGGTTTAGAAAAGGGTTGTATGCCTTCCTGGGCATTTAGACATAAGGTTTCAAAAACTGGATAGATTTTTGCAGCCACTAATCAATAACTTACATACTATACTGTGGAAACATCCATGTAGTAAAATAGTTATGATGGCAGATATCATGGAGCACTTAAATACATAGGTTGTGTCTAGTGGGTTGGATCTAAGTCACACTATTGAAATCATAGGTTAATTGGGGTAAATGCAGGATTCATAGCAGTAGTGCCAGTAAGACTGTAGAATCTCCAAGTTCACGCTAACAAATTCTCTGCTAACCACCATACAAATGATTGGAAAGAGATGTTCTCTGCTCAGTTCAATTGCATGATTTATGGATATTATGATGCCATGAGCATTTTGTCCCAGGAGCAGGGAAATACCACAGTATAATAAAATGGGAAGGATATCATCACATAGATCATGCATGCAGTAAAGCAGAATATGGCATTCTTCTTCAGCAACAGTCAATATAAATTCTTAGAGGATGAGAAAGACAGTTGCTTATAATACATTTATATAGCCGGCATTATCTATGTCCACATTTAGAAGAAAGCACTGCCAAAATCATATGTTCTGCTAGATGTGTCCTCCGTGAATTCACCTGTCAATGGTGACTAGACAATCATGATAGCTACCCAAGGCAGTGCATCGTTGACTATTAGTTGCTCGGAAACCACAGTTATTATTGCCATGTCCTGCTTGTGGTTACTATTTTCCAGAGACATTTGGTTGGCCTAGAAAACAGATTCTGAATGAGACAGACCCTTGCTCTGAGAAAGCAGGGTTCTTCCTATGTTCTTCTGTTATTAAGTTGGAAAAAATCAAGATGGGATGCTGATCTTCTCCTCTGTGTCCTGCCTTTGAACATCCAAGGGCACCTGGGCTGTCCTTCACTCTGCCAAAGGGATGCAAGACTATAAATCCCTTATATGATCCCTCAAAGAAAGTCTGCTGTCAAAGGCGGCTTTGTGGGGTGGCCCCTTTGGCTTAGAGCCCAGGATCTTTCATATGGAGCCCTACATTTCTGGGAGGCCAAGTAGCCACCATGCTGCAGTCCATGGGAACTTGCTGAAATGGAGGCACGGGGGACCTGATGGTCTCTGTAGCATTTGCCTTTGCTGGCATTTGCCTACATGTACTTTGCCTCCTGCTAACCGCCAACCCTCCCTCTGCCTTTCTGTCTTTTGTTTTTCTAGAGATCAAATGCCCCTTTCCTGTTCATACATCCTTTTCGTACAAATGGGGGTGCCCTTAGGAGATGGGGGTCACACACAGACTTCAGGGAAGACAGAAATCAGCAGATGCAAATTTGCGTGCTGTTTTTCCTGTGGATCTGAGCCCTGGTTCTTTTTGGCACTGCCTCTGCTGCTGGTCTTGTTAGCACCTGCACAGCTTCATATCAAAGCTTTCCTTTAATGCATTATGCAATTATGTTCTATGGAACATGGCGACTTTCTAATGTGTCCCATTGCCTTCTTTTAATGTTTGTTCCTAGCTTGCTTTAAGAAGAATGAGTTCCTTGGGTGATTCTTCTGGCCCACAAAGGTAATAAAACATCACTTGCTCTCTCTTAGTACTAGCTTATTATACTGATATTTAGTCTGCGAGAATTGTGCATGGAGACAGACTGCCCATAGTGAATGATGGAGATGCATGTGCGAAGCAGATAACCGCAGTGAGATCTGTGGGCTGGAGAGCAGTGGAAGTACTGAGCTGTTCATGAGGATAACCCATTCTTGACTCCAGCAGCTAAAGCGGCAAATGCTATTTGCAATGGAATGGGATTGGAGAAATTACGCTGGCAATGGAGCTGGGCTTTAGAGAAATGCAGTGTGTGCCAGACCATCACTTGGCCAGGATCTCATCAATTTCCCTGTCATACCAACTCGAAGATGCATTGCTCTGATTCACATTTGTTTAAGCCAGGAATCTGGGGACAAGCTGAGCATGTGATGGCCTGTAGTGGGCATACTTGTCATTTCCATTTTAATTAACAACTCAAGCATGCCCTGTTCCTGTGTTGTTTAACACATAAACGGCCCATGGCTTCCGGGTTCACATGTGAAAGAACAACTGAGAAACGGGGGATTCTTGGGTTGTTCATGAAAATCAGAAATGAGTGTGCTGCTTTTTCACTGCACTCATCCCTCCAGTTCCTGGGTGAATCAACTCAAGAATTGTCACTGTGACAAGCAAACTAGGCCAGTCATTGGATCCAGAGGTGCCATATGGTTGACAGAAGGTTTCTGTCAGTGGAAGTGGGAGAGGGGTGATTCCCCTACACCTGCAGCTCCCCGTACATCCCTAAAATGTATTCCAGAGAGCTCTGGAAGCCTTCAGAGATGATTTTGGATGATCCAGAGGACTGCAGGGAGGTGCCAGATAGAGAAAGCCTCATTGCACTAGCAAACATTCACTAGTGCGATGTTAATTCCAGGTCAGAGCACTGAGGAACTGGCCTGCCACTCTACATGTGTGGTTCAGCTCACACAACCAAACAGAGCTGCTGAATAGGTGGTCTGAATGGATTTGTGCAGGTATCACACGCCACCCAGTCCACCTTCTTCCCAAGTCACTTCAGTTGTGTGGCTTTTTCTGTAAACCCAGGTACATATTCTTTGGGGCAGGGCAGAACCTCTGATTTAAGAATTCTCGGCGCCCTTGCCATGTATTTCTGCCTTTAGCACAGTTAACCTAAATAATTCTTAAAGAAGTTCCACCTGTTCAATGGGTTCTTATTATTATCATTATGTATTTTGATGCAGAAAATCACTTACCATCCTCAAAGAAGATAATGAAACATTTGGATTTGAGATTCAGGTGAGGCCTTTCACATCGAGCCCTCAGGGGCGTGGCTGTGGACCCATCTGAACATGAGAACCATCTAACCGTGGGAAAACTCGAGGGTGGCGGAGGCACTGGGGTGCTAACTGAGAACAGGCGGCAGGAGGGAAACGCTGAGCTTCCTTCCCCAGTGTGGTGGTCCTGATGCCCCACTTCTCCTCTGGGCTGTCTATCTCACTTCCTCTCTCTCTCTCTCTCTCTCTCACACACACACACACACACACACACACACACACACACACACTTGTGCAGATTTTCTCCAGGCCACTAATGCAGAGTCTGCATTTCACAACACCTTGGCCATGTGTTTCCATATGGTCCTGGGGGAAAAAGGACCACAGGCAATCTTCCTGTGGGATTTTTAGGGGCATGAAGAGAGCTCTTGAAGAATGAATCCAGGACTCTTTGCCTTCCTCTTTGCCTTTACTCCCAGCCCTGCCCTGCTGCCCCCTCTTTCTGGCTCTCTGACACAGTGGATAAAATTATTGCTCCTTTTGTGGAGCAGTAGAAGCAACCTCCACCTAATCATGCTTGACCTGCAACCATAATTTCCTGAAGAAGGACAGCCTTGTTTTTGGGTAGGGAACATGTTTGTTCCTGTAATTTCCCTTTTATCTTATATATTCATATACATACATATATGAGGATGTGCGTATGCATGCACAGATAAAGAAAGAGGAACTGTTCGGTAAGGCCGTCTGCGGGGGCAGAGGTGGGTGGGGTACACAGTGTGGTGTGTGCATAAAGCAGGCTCACGTGCCCAGGAGAGGAGGGTGCAAATTAGCACATTGTCCAAGAAAGAGGCAATGCATTGCTCGTGCAGAACAAAGGGCATGGGCTGGTAGAACATGTGCACATCTATAGATGCACAGGTGGAAATTTAGGAATAATTAGTATGATTTAAATAGAAATAGAATGGTAGGGTTGGAAGGGGCCACTCAGGCCCCTGGATCCAACCCCCTGCTCTTGCAGGGCTCCAAGTTAAAGCATTCCCAACAAATGGCTGTCCAGCTGCCTCCAGCACATCTCCAGCGGGGGAGCGCTGAGGCTGCAGCTGCCGTGGCCTTGCCAGCACTGCCAGGGAGTCTGTCCACCTCCTGGCATTTGTGAGACAGGCTCCCCTGATCTCTGCCATATGCTGCACCCAATTACTGGGCAGCGGAAAGGAGAGGAGACAAAGGCGCCTCTGCGGAGGAGGAGGTGACAGCTCTGCCGCTTGCTCCAGGGGAGGCCTCTTGAGCAGACAGCAAGGGCTGGTCCCCATGCTCAGGGAGGCAGCATGGAATAGCGACGGCACCCTCCCTTGTGCTCAGAACGGGCCCCCTCAAGGAGCAGGCAGGGAAGATGCTCTGAAGTGGCCCAGGGATGAGGTCGGAGAAGCATATGACAGCCGCCCCCACGTGCTGCTTGGGCACTTCCGGGGCAGCTTCCAGCATGACTGCCTGGTTAGTTGCTTGGCAAGAGCAGCAAGAGGATTTTGACATGATGGGTCACGTTGGCCCGTTTGGGCAATATGGAAAGCTCTTGTGGGCCAAACCCTCCGACACTTGGTTTGTTCTGATCAGGGTGCCAACTGGCTTCACGTGGCTTGACAGACAACCAACAATAATAGGCAACAGTTGCTTGCCATGGCACATGAAGCCGGCCTGCCTTTCCCTTTCATCAGGTGCTTTTCGGCATTCTCCCATTTTGTCTACCTGTTCAATTAGACCCCTAATTTCCCACCTTATGATTCTTTTTGCTGGACAGCCCTTCAAATAGAGCGCTGTCTTCTTTCTGCTCTTCAGCTAGAGGACTATGGGGCACGTGGAGCGCTGTGAGTTGGGGCATCAGCCTGCAAGGCTGCTATTAACAACACTGTCTTTCTGACACTTACAGATACTTCCGTTTCAGCGTCAAAATAACAACTCCTTTGAAATGTACAGTTACGTCTGCAAAGTGAAAGAAGGAAGCCCTGCCTTTCTTTCTGGACTAAAGAGCGGTAATGAGTATTTCCTCATCCTAGCCTTCCCCTCGCTTCACTTTGCTGCTTTTTGAGGACACGGGGACAGTGATGAATGTAGGAAGCCTAATTTCTTTCATTTTGCCGTGGTCACAGGTTACATTCTAACCAGTATCAATGGAGTGAGCACAGAGAGCCTCTGCCACAAAAAAATGGCGGACTTGATCAGCGCATCAGGAAATCTTCTAAGGTAATCACGAAACCTGATGCCTGTGTGTTCAGGCCCTGACAGCCAGAAGAAGAGGAAAGGGTTTGTTTGCTCTTTGCAGCAGTGCTGGGGTTGTTATTGCTGCTCTTGCTGTATCGATTTTTCGCCTGCTGAGGTAGGAATGAAGTTATTTTTTCTAGTGAGAAATGCTACTGCTAATAAGAGCAAACACACTGCTATATGAAGGCAGAGAGATGGCTAGGAAATGTGCAGTCTCCAGGGATGGATCAATGAGAGGGAAAAGCGCCCACGGACAACTCGCGTGCCCGGCCAGGAGTGCCTCGCCTCCCCCACTGTGCCAGTGCCACCCTTGCAGCTGCAGCATGGAGCCGAAGGGGAGAGGCACCCCATGTTCCCCCTTTCCTGGCAGGATCGGGTTCCCACCGCCTGTCTGTGGGGAGGCTCATCCAGCAGGCTCTGGTCTCAGAACATCCGAACATTTGCCACTTAACACGAGAGTCCCTGAAATACGACGCTCCATTAGGCAAGTGACAGGACTTTGTCTCACGGAGCACACTGTCGGCGCTCAGCACAGGCTAGCACAGGCCCCATGCCCAGGAGGAGCAGAACAGGCAGTCCCTTGCTTGGCCTCTTTCCGACCACAGGCCAGAAATGCCTCTTGACCACCCCCACTCTAAGCAGCGGTGCTCCATGGCATTTAGCCACCAACATTTGTCCACATTATTAACCGTTGTCCCTTACTGTCTTGGGCTAGAGAGGAAGCAGTGCTGAACAAATCTAACCCTTGGAGCCATCCGATACTCCTTTAGTTCCTTCTCCATATATTTCCAACTACAGTACCCAGCATTCCACATGATTGGCGGTGCAGGCTGGGGCTGATGGAAGTTGGAGGCCAAATCCTCTACACCAGGCTAGGGAAGGCTGCTTCAGCCTGTGATCTCAATGGCAATCCTGCCTCTGTGCCTGTCTCTGTTAAAAGTAAAACATTTACTTCGAATGCTGTGCATGTGTGCAATAAATCCAGGTGCTTCTATAAACCAGGGACAGCTAATTCCATCCTTGTTTCCTTGTGAGTTCTCCATGGTCAGGCACTTCGGGAGCCAGGGTGCTGGACTCAATGGATCTTGCACTTGATTCAGCATAGTCCCTTCTTACATAGTTATGTTGATCTTCTAAGGCAAGCAGCATAAACATATCATCATCATCACATCATCATCATGTTTGTTGCCTATGTTGCTCCCAGCACGAACCTGCCTGTACCCCGTGTTCCTCATTTAAGGTCTTCCTCCCAGTATCTTTTCTGAGGAAGGATTGGCATGTGAAAATAGGGGAGACCTCCTTTCTGGTGGTGGTCTCCGATTGTGGAACAAATAATCTGCACAGTGGTGGCAAAAAGAACAGACCTTTCCCTTTTCTTCAGCATTTGGCAGCACACAACAAGCTTTTAATCAGGTCCCAGATTTTTAAAATTGTCGATTGTTTACAATTGCTTCCATATACTTGCTTGTTCCATCTGTTTATGTATGTGTATGGCAGTGATTCCTGTAATAATATGGCATTTTATAGGATTTTAATCTTTGTAAACTGTCCAGAGAGCTTCAGCTATTGTGCAGTATAAAAAAGGCATGAATAAATGAATGAACAAAAGGGGAAAATGTGAGAGAGTCCCAGCAGAGCTTTTTTAAATTAGGGAAAACACATGCTTTATAAAGGCACGGTTGTGAATTGCTCGTATGCTTTTCTTTTTGTGATAGGAATGTTTCATTGTTGGTTTTCTGTTTACAGGTTGGTTGTTGTGAATGAAGCCTTGATTGTCAAAAGAATGGAACTGGAAACCAAGCTGAGATTTTTGAAGGTAATTCTTCTGCACAGATTGTGAAGAATGTACGAGTGCCACCTGATATTAGATAATTCAGCTGGTTGCCTTAGGTTACCAGGTATTTCATGATGGTGCATGATTGTGCTAATTTGCAAGGCTGGTGTAGAGTGTATGTAGAAATGAGCTGAAGAAACATATATTTGCTTCTTTCCTGCTTTTTCTGTCAAGGACCCAAACAGCTCACAATTTAAAACATAAAAGCATACACAAAATCAAATATTTCCTATGAGTATACAATAAAGATATTAAGATTAAATGTAACATTTAATGAAGTAAAATGCTATATAAACAACAGAAATCACAACGGCAATAGCATGAAAATAAGAAGGAAAGAACCAATTAGCTATTCTCCATAGAAAAGTAGATTCTGCTACCTAAATGATCCTGCTGCTGCTGGCAGTTTGCTGTGTCTTATTTAGCAATGGAACTTGATGTTCAGATGTTGACCAAAGAATGCAGGGAGGAACCCATGGAAGATTATGGTCCTTAGAGCACCCAAGTCCTAAGATCTTTAGGGCTTTAAAGTCAACCCTAGAGACTTGAACTGAACCTTGAAACAACAGGTAACGAAATGGTTGGGTGTGACTTGAAGGGCTTAAATTGCAAGGAAGGGGGCACGTGGCTGCTGTCAACCCATGCGTTCTTCCACGTGTTCCAGGAATGTTCCCTTTATTTTAAAACATTTCAACCCTGCTTTTTACAGAAGCCCTTTCAGTGGTTCCATGAAAGATCTCAGATGACATGTGATGCTTCTTAGTGCTTCCCTGCCCTTCCTCTGCCTTGCTGGCTACTGTGGCATAAAAAGAGGAAATACTTTACTCAGTGACTTCATTTCCCATGCGTTGTTTAGCTGAATATCGCTGGGGAAATCCAGGAAGGGACATGGGTGGTGTTAGCCACATCTTGCCCATAATCTGTGGTTAGTACATAAAACAGGAAATTGTAACTGGCTAATGTAACCGGCTATAGTCCATCAAGGATCCTTTGTGCCATCGATTTCCATGAGAAGATTTTCTAGAGCAGGATAGATATCCTGATGCCCTACAGATTTTTGAACTATTGTCAACAGAAGTCCGCATGGTCCATGGGTGGGAATCATGGGAACTGTAGTCCAAAACATAAGATGTAGGTTTACCTACCCTGTCCTAGACAGATACATTTCAGATGGATGTTGCGTCGACCAGTATTACCATAACTAGATTAGGGCAACTGGGAACTGGGATAGGACATGACTTGCAAAGTGTGTAACAGATTTTTAGTTACTAAAAGAATGGTGAAGTATTTCCATCCCCTTCCCTTCCTTCTCCGCTTAGCTTAGCTTCTAAGCTAATTCACTGTAATACAGCTTTCCCTAGCCTCTGACTTCCAGATGTTTTGGACTACAATTCCAAGCATTCTTGACTAGGGCAGGTCCAGCGTAGGCACAGTTGTTAGTAGACAGGCCCAGCAACATAAGGTCATATCACCAGAAGGCCTGTCCAGACATTGGTAGGATTTGATGCAGACCTTCCCTGGAGTCTGCCAGCGCAATTTTAAGCTCACAATGGCTAGAAAGTTAGCTTTAGTCAGAATAAAGACTGTATTCTGTGCTACATTCTACATTGGCAGGGTGGCCCCATGGAACGCACATGAGCTAGTTTGAGCAATATGGTCTGATCCAGCCCTACACATGAAACTATCGCCCATCCTCATCCATCCATGCAGGAAGAGTCAGTCTGAACGAGGCCTGCACAGTCAGTCCCCAGATAAAAATTTGGAAATTGACTGCACGGCCTTGACTCATGCATGTTATGATCTTATGTCCATGGGATGCATTCAGATAGGCCATACATTTGTAGATGGATACCTGCTTCCCATCTAGAGCTGCAGCAGACCTTTCAAGTACATTCTACCTGGCCCAAACCCAGAGTTTCAGGTCCATTGGGTTACGACAGAATTATTACACAGAAGCCTTCCTTGACCTGCTGATGCTTTGGACTTCAGATCCCCTCAGCTGCTCCCTGCATAGCCAATGGTCAGGAATGCTGGTAGTCCACCAAAATCTGGAAACAGCAGGATGGGAAAGATTGCTGTATGGCCATACAAAGGATTCCAACCCGGATAAATAGCCTTTAAAAACAGAGGGAGCTCTGTTTTACTGGAGCTTGGCAATAATTATCTCTGTTCCTAATATTTGGACCAACCTCTTCTATGAGCCTATTTCACCTCCTTGGGGCGTTTTTTTTCCTCCGTTGTCCAGTCTCTGACTTGTTTCCATAAGTGAAATTGTGATGGGAGCAGGATTAAAGGTTTCCTCAGGACAACGGGGCCTTCATCTTAGCCAGAGCCTTTAGTTGCTCCTGAAAGGCCCCATAAATCACCGCTGCAACAAGGCTGCCAGCTGAAGGCCCCTTCAGCTCCTGTGGCTGCCCTTGTCCGCCCTGCAGTGTTCCTCTTCCCTGGTATAAACTCTCTGGAGGAGCAGAGGGGAGTGTGGCGAGGCCACGTGTCTGGCTAAGCCACTTACGTAATGTGGAGGCCCCACCTGAGCTTGACCTCCAAATGACTCCGATTCCTGGAATGGCAGCGAGTGCTTTGATTAAAGCGGCTGAGTAGGCAAGGGACCCCTGCCATCCAGCCCAGAAAGAGCTAGGAATGAGGAGAGCCAGACCTTTCAGTGCTGTGATTAATGAGAACTCAGGGGCTGATTATGATGAAGTTTGGCAGCTAACTAGAGGAATGCCGTGTGGATTGCGGTGCTGTCAGTTATCCAAGCTTGGATAAACTGCCTGATGCGCATTCTCTGCTGGAAGGAAAGCTTTAGAAGGCATTGGAATTTAATTTGGAAGAAAGTATGGCTGCGATCTGAGATACGTCGGTGGATGTCCATGTGGCCAGCGCCACAAGGCAGGCTACTCAATGGTATCCCTAATGCTACCGGAGGCTGTAAAGCATTCTTGGTAGTGAAGGTTTCTTAGATCCCAGTGACTTGCACATACCTTTCCCCCCTAAAGATGCATCCAGCAGGCCAGTATGGAAAGCTGAAAGGCCAACTGCCCAAAAGTTCCATCAATACCTGCCTTATAAATATTATTTTTGTATGTGTTCTCTCAAAGAGTCCTACTATCCTAATCATGCTTTCAGAAGACACACAACCTCTGGAAGCATCAACAGTAAAATATAAAACAAAACTCAAAGATTAATCTTGGTATAGACTGCAGCACCAAGTATAACTCTGCCGTTGGCAGTATCCATGCTAGTGCTCCTGCTAACATAAATTATGTTGTGTTAGCATGAACAACCTCTGGCACAATGCCAGTAGTGTTGGCTGGCATGATGGCTGCATCTGGAAAACATGCACGTTATTTATTCTAGCACAGCTTAATTTATGCTAGCAGTAGTGTCACATTGGATACTGCCCATTGTGCTTAAGTGTGTGCTGATACTAAGTTTGTGGGGGTTTTGTTGAATATTTGGCGACAATCATGTGCTGATCTGGACATATACTGTCCCCCTCCCCCCCGCACGCATACTATTCACTTGAGGTTCAACGGACCACAATGCCTTGTCAGTGAAATCCTCAACTTTCATAAAAGGAAATCACAATGGAAAAGAAGATAGAATGCCAACATTTTACTGATGTCTGAGAGCCATATTCCACTGTCAACAGTGACAAAAATACTATTGATTTAAATGGGTGCTAAATTGCACCAATATAGTTTTCGCTGATTATGGAGAAAGTGCCTTAATAGCAACAAAAATGTTATTTTTAATATTACTGTGGAAATATTAATGGCATTGAAGAACAAAACAAACCTTGAAACACAATGGACCCCAATGCAGAATAGTCTGTGGTACAATTTAGTCTTAATTATACTCAACCCAAGGATGCAAGCCTATGCATTTTTAAGACAGAAAATGCTGGGAGTTGTAGGACTTTTTCTATATGAACTACTTAGAATTCTACACTAAGTGTATAATCATACAGGTTTAAATCTAATGCTTATCTACTGTTCCACCAGTGGGGCTTCTCTTTGCTCTCCTCCAGGCTACAGAGTCCAACGGACCCTCTGAGCATATGGAGGAGGGGAAGGGAAATTCATTCTTTGTGCGGGGGGGGGGGGGTTCCATTCTGCTGCCCAAGGGACAGAATTGACTCAGAGTATGAGTCTTTTAAAGCTAATATTATATCCCAGACTGAATTAAGAGTGACACAGATCACTGTTGGCCTTTTACAGAAAACTCTGCAGGAAAAGTTGGTAGAGTTTCAGTCACTGTGCTTCCGAGAACAACGCCTTGCAAATGGTAAGTCTGAATGACCTGTTATAAGGAATTAAAACAAAAAAGCTTTCCCAGTTTTCTCTACAGAAATGATGCAAGCTCAGTCAATGTGCAGAGCTGAGCAGTTTCAGTTTTGATTTGCCTTTCTTATCCTTGCGAATGAAAGCTTTCGGGGTGGTTGTGTTGAAGAATACTGACCATATGCCTCCACCTTCTAGCCCATAATTAAAACATTTGCATATATACAACCAGCTTTGGTAAAGGCTGCTGTTTTTAAGAAGTTTTATTATTCAAAATGAAGTTTTTTTCACTCTGCTATTCTAATGTACTCTTATTTGTGTTTTATTGATTTTTTAAAATTGTATTTATGCTTGCTTTCCTTTTAAATTTCATTGTAAGTCACTTTGCAGCAAAGATTTATGAAGGATGGTTTACAGAGACCTTAAATAAATGCATCAGTCCGTTTTTCACCCACCTGTATCAACTTTCCTGGTTGATCTGGAAAACGATTTTTCCAGGACCTGCAGAGTAAACTGCTCCAATCAGTGCCCTGGTCTCAGACCTAAAGCAAAACGGTGCTTTTGATTTATGTGAAATTTGCTTAGCTTTTTTCTCTTTCCCTTGTCAATATGCAAATACTCAGTCAGATACAGTCTGAGTGAGAAGGGAAAAGAAACTTTGTGGGTAGAGGGGAGAGGCATGCATGGCCAGCACCTGCAAATGGAAAGAGTTGCAACGATGTAGATTAAGATGAGAGATGATGATGGGCCCAACATCAGTTCGATCACTTCATGGCTGTGTAGGAAATTCTCCCCCAGCTCTCCCCAGAGGTAGGTTGACACTTGCACCGTACCAGCTCAGTATTATTGTTTCCCTTACTATAGATAGGAGGCCAAGAGAGTGGCCACCGAGGGAGGCCACAGTAGAAGCAGGCATGAGCTGGAAACTTCACTTTGTCTACTGTGCTGTAGCAGCTGCCCCGTTTGCACAAGGCGTGGCCTTGCAGAACATGGAAGTGAAACAGCCCCTTCTGCCCCTGCCCCACAGCTTACAAACTTCTCCCAATCTTCAAATGCTATTTTATGAAAATCAAGGGTGTTACCTTAATCCTGCTTGTGCAAACTGAGGTTTCTGAGGATGTGACCCTTGTACCCTTCTACCTCTTTTTTAGGGGAAGTAGAGTCGCCATTGGATTCCATCGGATCAGATTCTTCTAATTTATTTGGAGATTATGTTGGGTCAGAATCGGCCATGACCAATAAAGCCCGATTTTCTAGTGAAAGCAGCTGCTTAAGCCGCCTGAGCTCAATGACTGTGGACAGTGAGGACAGCTTCTACCAAGCCTGTGTTTTCGAAGATGCTGCTCGTGGGACCTTCAGTCGGCAGTCAAGCACGGAGGACGACTGCTTCCTCCCAAGAGACTCTGATGTTGCTCACATGAAGACCAAACTGAGAAGACACAGAAGCTTCAGGATGGCCAGCAGTGGATCCATGTCCCCCTCCTCGGATGGAGGCAAAGTCCCAAACATCTTTGGGACACTTCCACGGAAAAACAGAAGTGGTAGCATTCGGAAAAGACTGTTGAATTTCATCCCTGGCCTTCACCTAGCAGTAGAAGAGGAAGAAAATTATTTCTGACCACAGGAAAGGGTTGAGATTTTGGGCAGCAACTGGCAATTCTGCAACCATGTAGTGCTCACCCTTCCGGTTGTAATTCAAGGAAACCAGGGGAGATGGACAATTCAGACTGAGAGACAGGGTTTTCTTGACATGGCCCGTTCTGCCTGAAATAGACTTCAACCATGACAGATGTACAGATTTTTTTAAATTATTATTTTCCAGGAGAAGGACACTCTAACAACATTAGGGCTAACAACATTAAGTCAATGTGGCCTGACATGAAGAGTATACAGTACAGGCAGTCTCCAAGTTACGAACTTCTGAGTTACAAACAACCCATACTTGTGAACGAGCTGTCATAAAGCCTATCAACAATTTCCTGCAGTAATTTTTTTAAAAAATTATCACCATAGAGAGGGAAAGGAAGAGAAAGGGGAAAGAGGGAGGCCTCCAAAGCATGCCTTCCTGCCCCAACCATCTGGAGAGGGAAATCATTCTAGCTTTTCCTTGCTGCAAAGAGGAGGCACTGGTGAATTGAGCAGTGAGGGGACTAGAAATACTTGCAGTTTTTCCACCTTCAACCCCTGTGAATGTGGAGAGCTGACTATATGTAATTTGACTTAAGTACAAGTTCAACTTAGAGACACATTTCCCCAAGTTCTACTTAAAGACAAATTTCCATTTTCTCAGGAATGGATCTTGTTCGTTACCTGTGGACTACCTGTAACAGTTAGGAACAAATATTCCATGGTGGTATTTCTTCCCCAAGTATTTAGATGCTAATAAGAAAATTAGACACATCCTTCTTCTGGATTAGCAAAAGAAAGGCCCAGTCAATTCACTTGGTGTTACCACCACATTTCCTTCATGCATGTATTAAGGGGTCATGATTGTCCATCATTGTCATTATATCCTTTTATGATTGCCTGGAAGAACCATACAGTCAGGCAGAGGGAGTCAGCCACATGAGCTGGCAGGCGTCCAGAGCTTAACAAGATGAAGTGTTTTACTAGAAAGTTTCTCTCTCTTTCTCTTTTTAAATATATTTGAAATACTATTCTACCTTTACCTTTGAGTAGCAGGCTTCAAGAACTGAAAAATTCACATCTGAATTTCAGAAAACAATTCAAGAGTTACCACCAACTTGTACTTATTGGGTGCTACTCATCAGAAATTAAAAACAAGAACATGAAATCTTTAATATGCTAAAAAATTTAAGTACTACATTTCAATATCCAAATGGAAAAATCCGAATTCCTGAAATTTGGCTTTCTGCACATATGGTTAGAAAATGCTTGTGTAGGCCCAGGGCTGTGCTAGGAAGTCTGGACTCTCTAAAGCAGGGGCGTCAAACTCTTTCAGCGCAAGAACCCAGTTCCATATCAGGGAGGCTGTTGGGGCCAAATTCCAGTGTGGCTGAGACCTCATGTAGAAAGGGTGGAGCTAAAATTTAGGCTTAGCCCAAGGAGATGCAGTTTGGCATTGTGGAATGGAGGGAAGCAGGGAACGTGCATAAGCTGGGAAACCACCAAAGGACTGCCGGGCAGGGGAGCAGGGCCAGAGGTGACATGGACACCTGGTGAACCTGGGAAGGATCCCCTGCTGTAGAGGAAGGATGGGGCACATGTGTAGCAGGCAAATAAATTAATTTGTTTTAGTATATTTATTATTTTATTTGACACAAAGTCTTTATTTCCATGCAGTTCAAGGAAAGAAAGATCACATGCCATCACCAGTTTCTGCATTAGTGATTATATACAGCAATTCCATTTTTGGTTTTCAGTACATGGAGATAAATCAATGAATTCTTGTTAACTTGAATGGGAGTATGGGTGCAATCTCAAACACACCGATCAGGAAGCACATTCATTTGGATTTGGGGCATAGGGAGATGCTTTCCAAAGGAAATAAATTAAAAGGGTATTTGCATCCATTAGGAGTGAGAGGACAGTATCTTGTGGCTGCAGTGGAGGAGATGGGTCCCGGAACATTAGCATATTTGCATTATTGCCTCCGTAGCACCTGTGATTTCGACCCTCGCCCTGCTGCTGCCAGGTCCTCTCCACTTCTTTCTATCCCATGGTCCTCAGGCAGAATGAATTACAAGCAAGGCCAGCCCTACCGCTGGGTGGACTGAAGCAGCCTCTTCAAGTGGCAGATGCTGGTGCTGGGGGAGGGAATGGTGGCAAAGTGTTGGAGGACCAAGCCATGTGTGCCTGACTGTGCCTGAGCTAGTCTGCTTCCTGCAGGGTCCTCTTGCTGGCACTGAAGTAACAGCCCACCACCAATCTACTCAACCTTGGTATATAAAGGTGGAGGAGTTGTGTCTTTCTTTGTTAGCTGGGGAAAAGCCTTCTTTCTAATGGTCCTGATGGGGAAGTGATTCAATTTCCCCCCCCCCCCCCCCATGAATTAGAGGAGTGCCTACTAGAAGCCACCTCCCATGGCAAGGTCTGCAATCATGTGATGCAGCAACCTTGCAGAAGCTAAAGCGGTCTGGATGTGGTCTGGATGAGCAATTGCATGGAACCTCGTATCCAGCACCTGCTTTAAATCTACATCAAGCAGTCAAGCATCTCTTTTTACAATTGTACACTAATTCAGGTGCAAGGGCTCCTGATCTGGCTTTTTAAAAGCCTCCCTGCTCCCCAAACAGTTTCCATAAATAGAACATTAGCACCAAAAAAAAAATCTCTTTGGTTCTCATCCTTTTTACTTCTGGGAAGGAGGAAGCTGAGAGAATAAATGAATGCAGGCACAAGGTGCAGGTGCTTCTTCACATATCTGGGTACCAAACCATTTAGGACTTTGAAAATCAGTATTCAAATTGGATGTGGATGCAATCCATGCAGCCAGCTGTTTTAACTCTAGCAAGACATTATCAGAATGTAAATCTTTTTAAAAGATCTCCTAGCTTGAATGGATGCTCCATGAATGAGGATGGCCACCTGAGCCTTGCTCCATTGAACAAGGTAGATCCAAACTAGACATGACAGATGGCAGGGGTGTTAAACTACAGGGACTCTTGACTCCTGTGGTCTTTATAGTGCCCTTCAGGTTTGCTGTGTAACATTTACATGAAGCTGCTAGAAGAGGTTCGATATTACCAGTAGGCTGAAGATACCCAGCTATGTCTCTTTCTAAAGCCAAAGCAGATGTTCTTATCTAAGCTGGTAAGAACCTGGATGAAGGTAATTGAAACTTAATCCAGGCAGGACAGAGGTGTTTCTGGTTAGCTGAAAGGCGGATGAGCGAATAGGAATTTAGCTATGAAGATTCAGGTTTATCACTGGAAGTCCTCCCATGTTAGACCCTAAACCTGGATGTCCACGTTTTGGTGGTATCCAGGAGTGCATTTGCACAGCTGATGCTAGTCCACCTGGTACTGCTCCTGTTGCTAGAACTGCCTGATCTGAGCATGGTCTTGCATGCCTTAGTTGCATCCTGTTAGGACTATGGCAGTGCGTTGCCTTTGAAAAGTGTTCAGAAACTTCAGCTGTCCAGAAAATTGTGCCCAAATTGTTCACCTGATGAGGGAGTCTGTGACAACAGCTTCATTGGTTCTTGGTCCATTTCTGGGCACAACTGGAAGGGGTTATGGAAGATGAAGCCCTGTATAGCTAGGGAGCAGGCTGTTCAAAGGAGCACTCTCTCCTGCACGGGCTGCCCAAGCTTTGAGAACCCCAGGAAAAGCCCTTCTCAGTGGGCCGTTCCAGGCTTGGAGGCTCCCAGCGAAGGGAGGCCAGCTTAGCTCCATCTTCACTCTCCTTCCTTTGGCTAATATACTGATGATAATCTAAACTTATGTATTGCTGAAGTAATTTAATTAGGTCCCCCTTTTCAATTATATTGTTAATTTCATGTTTATTTTTATTGAGATGCATTTCTATTTGATATTTAATGTTTTATTCATAACTTGGTGCTCTTGCATTAGAATTTATCGGTAGCTTCCATGAGCAGTGATGTTAGTAGAAAGCAGGGCATACTTGTTACAGATACACACATTGCATTAAAACCACCCCTGAAACAACCTTTAGCCTCATGACAAAAACGTGCAGGTATCTGTTTGTTCCTTCCCACAGGGCAAATAAGGTTAGGGGAAAGGGTTATTTTCATCAGGAAAATGTCCTGCCTCACTCCAAGTGGCTTTCCTGAGGATACTGGTGGGCTTCAAGTGTGACACAGCCCTGTAGTTGGAACAGAGTTAGTAATGTCACCATGGGCAGCAGTTACTAATACATATAAATAAATTACTAATTGCTGCAAGTACACAGACCTAGCATGTTAGGGCAACCATAACCCACTGGGTGCCTTCCAAAAGTTTTGGATTGCAGCCAGCAGGGCCAAAGGCCCAGAAAACTGGCAGCTGTAAGCTTTGGTGGGAAACTGCATTTTGTATTCTCGGTTTCTTTACAGCTGCAGGTTGAATATAGAAGTGGAGAGAGGATGTGGTTTCCTGTCGTGCCACCATGCAAACATCAGCTGTTGCCACAGTAACAGGGCCTTATAATAATGAGCAGTGCTGGCGTAGGGACTGTTAATTGTCAGTCGCTCTGCCTGGGCAAAGGTCCTCTGGCCCCGAAACAGCTCTGGGCAGTTCTACCACTCCCCATCTCAAGAACAATGTTGGCGAGTAAGATCACGTGGGCCTGACTGGGTGTAAACGCCTGTTTATAGCTCTTCCATTTGTTTGAGCTTTATCAGGCCGGTCTTTCCCCTCCCTACCTTTTCCCTCCACTCGCCTTCCTTGGTATATCGTGTCTTTTAGGTCACAGGACCATCTCTTCTTTTCTCTTATATAAGCCACATGAGCACGGCAGGGTGTATTGAAGTCTCATGCTTGTTAGTCATATTGGGAGACATTTTTTGCAAGAAAAGCAGAATTTTAATATAGTGCAGGATTAAATAAACAGCTAAAATCTAATACGTTGCAAACCAGTTCTACGCATTGTGTACTCAGAAGTTCAGTGGGCTTCACTCCTAGGAGATGGGTCTAAGATTGCTGCTGAAAGAACATACAAATTATGTTATATAACCAGTGTATGGTCTGGTATCCTCCAGATGTTTTGGACTACAGATCCCAGCACCCCTAAGCATTGTCCATTCTGGGTCTGATGGGGGATGAAATCTAAAACATCTGGAGGGCACCAGTTTAGGCGAGGCTGCAGGAACTAAAACCCTTTCCCCACTTTTGTAGGTTAGAGTAGGTAATGAATTTTCTTTAAGAAACTAAAAGAAGAATAAAATGTAAAAGGAAAATAAGATCTTCCCGAGGGTCAGTAAAGGCATTGGTTTCAGACAACTCAATAGCCTACACCCGAGGGTTGAAGAGGGTTGTTTGTTGAACTGTGGGCTGTTGAAATGTGGGTTATTATGCTAAAAATCCATGCTAAGCAACTCATAGTTCATAACACAACAAGCCATGGGTTCTCTTGTGATTGACAAGTGATAGCTTATTAGTGCCACTGGGTTCAGATAACACAACAGCCAAGATTTCAAGGACAACCCTTGGTTCTAACCACAAATCACCCTGAACCCATCCTGAACCCCTGAGTGTACACTTACCACCTGCTCAACAACTCATCATGCAGTCTGAACTCAGCAATTGTTTCTTCACTGCTTTGAAGGCTGAATCAAGATACTTTGCTATCTGCGGCAAAAGACTAAGTGCACCCACACAGAAAAGCCGACTGGGCTGGCAACTGACTCTTACTTTAGCAGTGACAATGAGAAGGCAGCCTTTGCCACATCTGGCTGGCTTTGGGCTTCCAGGTTAGGCCCCGTGACACACATGCCTGGAACACAATTATTATCTGGACTGTACAGCTGCCCATGTTCTGCAATGCAGTTCCCAGTTCAAAAAAAGTGAACAGATTGTGCATTTCAGGGGAAACCTGTCCAAAATGCATGTTTTATGTGGAAATGTGTGCAGTTTAAACCCAACTTTTCATGCCTTTTAAAAAGAAAAACCATAGCATTAGCTGTTTTACAGCAGGAGTGCAGAACTTCCAGGCTGGGGCCAAATGTGGCCCACCCAGCATTCCACTCTGGCCTTCCGGTGCCTCAGGCAGCCGTGCCCCAGTGCCGTGCGCCCCTCGCCACCATTTGGCGGTTCACCGGCTTCTGTGCAGTCTCTCCCTTTCCCAAGCATTACCTAAGGTTCAGTTACTGGCACTAAGTGCCTGCAGTTAAAGCAGGGGGTATTTTTGGTCCCCCTCCTTTTGCCTGGAATGCAACACCCAGTAAGTTTTCCAGTATGGACTCAGGCTAGAAGAGGTATGATACCCTCTTTTGCACCAAACTAGAGGCAAGTCCAACAACACTGGATTCTAGCACATATTATGGTGCAGCTTGTACACTGAGCTATTCACAGCTTTCTGATGTAGTTGTAAGAGAAACAGGAAGAGGTGTCAAGCTTGCATGGGAGGATGCTTAAAATGGTTCACTCGACATCAAAAATGGTCTAACCACAGGAGAGAGGATGTGTTTATGCAACCTACAGGTAGATGAAGGTTCTTTTCATAGTGAGAAATGTACATCTTTGCCCAGATGGCTGTACAGTGATCTCGATTTCTCTGTAATGGGATTTCTGTAGTGCTTCAAAACCATTCAAAATCTTTGGCTGGCCAGAGACACAATGGTGGGACTCCTCCCTCGAAC